TAATTTAGAGATACCGCTTGCTATCTTATCTGGCAGTTTTCTTAAGATGTGGCCACTGGAATTTTACATAATAAATCTTACACTTTTTTTCGCAAAGCTGAGTAATTTTATTCGTTCTTCTGGCAATTTTTGTAATTTGCATTTTCGATCATTCAGTCTTTCAAGGTCTTCATTAAGATGCCTTTGAACAGTTTTTATACGCATATTATAATACATTATTTTTTTCATTGCTGTGATCTAAAAGTAAGAAAAAACCCAGATGATTAGCTAAAACAAATTATAGGTAATTATTAGTGGTATTATATGAGTACAGTATGTTATATACAACAATTAGAAAGTTTTGCATGCTCAGTTACTAATAACAATGACAGTTAGAGTGACATTGGCTTCACAGAGTTCTATATTTAAACTTAATAGAAAAAATATAAAATTCCAAAATTTTTTCTCTGTGGATAATATTTAAGTGGAAGGCATATTTACATTTATTTTCAGGATGACAATATAAAGAGATAGAATTTAATTTATAAAATAGTACCATTTAGCTAATGAGGCAGTACAACTAAAGCAAATACATAATACATTATTTCTATTTGATTAACTCGGGGAAAAAATAAAGAAATTAAAAAGAATTAAAAACAAATGTAACATTACTCAATTCATTTTTTAAAAGCATGGCTAAGAATTTGATTTAATTTTTTTGAAATCTATAGAAGAATGTTCTGAATGAACTGGTTTTAGACTGAGCAAATTATTAAATTGTCAATCTAATCCAATTATATTGAATTAATTAATGACGATGGGTCATCTAGTTATTAAGAAGTTTATCATGATAAAATGATTAAATCCATCTTTAAGAAATATACCACATAAATGGTTCTTAAGAGTTACATTAGTCACAAAGAACTAGCTGAGGAGAACATGAGCAAATTAGGTATACCACAAAAATGTGACCTAGTCTTAACTGTTTACCTGAAATAATAAAGTCATTTCATTTTATCAGGAAATCTACACCTAAATAAGCTAGAAGGCTTAGACATGTATTTTCTATAGCTGCAGGCCCTTTTTATATAATTTATTTAGTATAGAGGAGATAATCATGATCCCAGAGTTACTTGGCATAGAAGACAGAATAGAAATAAATATATGATATGATGAACAGGCCAAATGCCTCTGCCAAAGATAAGACATT